AAAAAAAGGGGGGGCTACATGGAAGCAGCCATTTTCAAAACAAAAGTCACGTGGTCAAAATGAACCTCAAGACGGGTAGCACAAAGCAGCCCCCTGACACCTCCGCGGAGCTCTAGCGGACTTACCGAAGAGCAGCGGCTTGAGGCTGAGGGTTCTGATGAAGTGGTCCCTGTCAGCCACCAGCTGGACCTTCTGCTCGTGCCCCACCTAAGGGAAAGGGTCACAGCGGACAGCTTGGGCGCCAGGCCGCGCCGCCAGAAGGAAAAGGCTCCCTGACACGGGAGAGAGTGGGGTGCGCGTGGAGCCGGCACCATGCGTGGGTAGGGAGCTGCACCTTGGGCTCGGAGGGCAGCGAGGCGGTGTGTTGGGGGGGCCTCACCTTGATGCCCTCGAGCCGGGTGAGGGGAGCCAAGGTTATCACGGGCTGGGGTTCTGGGGCGCGGCGCTGGGGCCCGGGGTCGCTGCTTTCATCGCCGTTGCTGTAGTGTACGAAGAGCAGCAGCGCCAGCACGTTGCCCAGGTACAGGTGCACGAACACCATCAGCACGAGGAAGTAAGCGCGCGAGCAGATGCCGCGGGGTTTGTACAGCGGTCGGACCGGTGCGTCCTCGCAGTCGCCCAGCCTGGCCGCTGACTGGGAAGGGTCGTGATCAGGCCGTACCCACTGCGGTCTCGCGGCCTCAGGCCTCTGGCCCACCGCGGCCGCCATGGCGCTCAGGTCGCGCGCGCGCCCAGGGGAGGGGCCGCGGGGATGCCCGCGCCGCACCGCGCCGTCGCCGGGACAACCGCTGCCGAGCCTGCGCGCACAGCAGTCAGTGGGAGACGGTGCCTGGGGATGCTGTGCCAGCCTGCTGGGAGCTGGCCAGGCAGTATTTCTGCGCGCTGTGGACCCCGACCCACATTCTTCCTGAGCTGGGTTGTTGCAGGGCGGGGATGCACGCCCTTCAGGCCAGAGGCCGACCCTCTCCTCCCCCAGTGTAGATGCAAACAAGAGCAGCACCATTCACGGAAACCCCTGTGGAAGTTTCTCCTTTCCCTGGTTAAGACGCACTTCCCTCCTCCTGGAAAAGTATGGTCTGTATTTCATCGCGCCCAGGAATGGGGTGGCAGCAAGGAAGCAGCAGTGCCAAAAAAAGGGACTCAATACCGCGGTGGATTGGGGCGCCTTGGAGAAGACCGCCCACGTGATAGCGTAGGTCCCATGGCTTTCCGCGCTAATCCTCGTCCGTGTAGGAGGCCAAGAATGCTTGGAGTTTCGCTCTGGGGTTGATCTGGAGCCCCCCCCCCCCCCCCCCCCCCGCCCAAGGCCTACAGGAATCAGGCCTCAGGAAGAAGCCGTCTGATGGACGGGGTCGTGTAGATGGTGGGACCCCGCCTGGGGTTGTCAGAGAGTGCTTCCTGGAAGAGCTCTGGCATCAGGAAGGTCAGATCCCACACAGTGACGGCAGGAAAGTGCTCAGGTGCGCAGCAGCACTGCTTGCCTCAAAGCTGACACATGGGAGGAGGGAGAAAGGGACTTTCCCATAACTGAGTGACCATCGTCTCTGAGGAAAACTGAACTGAGACTTGTCAAACCTAGAGTGGAAGGACACACGAGTAGCCCAGCGCCAAAGCCTAGGCATTTTCAAGCTCCTCGCTCTCCAGGCCCTGGTTATTCTTAGGCAGAGATGCGTATGCTCCAGGGTAACGCCATAGAGGCAGGTCCCACTGGCGGCTTCTCCTTACCCTGTCAAGACCCCCCTTTCCTCCCACTTCCTCCCAGAAAAATAGTCTGCATTTTCTGGTTTCCACAGTGGGAGAGGCCACGGGCTCCAAGGATAGGCCTGCCTTCTCGTGCAGGTTCTATACACAGTGGTGGGCTCACCAGCACCGGAGCACATGGGCGCATCCACTCGTCCAGCTACTTTCAGGGACCACCCCCCTCAATCTCCTTAGAACACTACAGAGAAACACTGTCCAACTAGAGGAGGTTCTGGATGTTTTGTGGGGAGGGGTCCAGATGGCAGTAGGAACTGCATGGCTCAGCCAAAGCTGGATGCTAACCAAACACGGATGGTCTGGTGTCCCGCTCTGGATGGGGTGGGAGGTGACAACTCCACGGCCAACCGGGCCAGCCTGGACTCCCCTCCACAGACACGAGGGCAGATGTAGCAGCATCTGGCCCTTCTCCCCAAAATGAATTCCAAAAGAAGTGAAAGGGCTGCGAAAGAATGTTCCTCATTCAAATCAATGGAAATCCCATTACCAAATTCAGAGTGTTCAAATTTCCTGCAGCTTTTCTTTGATCCACTCTAGTTGTCAGAAATCTCCCAATTAAAAAATTTTTTTCCACAAAGTCTCCCAAGTTCTGAGTTCAATGGAAACAAATTTTTCTTGTTATATGAATCTCCAAAGTTATTAAATATGAAATACCAACTAAGTCAGTTTTACCAAGGATGTCATGGTTTTCTGGTACTCATGAAGGAATCCTGAAACCATTTCCTCTTTGTCCTTTTAAAACCAATACAAATCTCTTGACTGGTGTGGCTCAGTGGTTTGGGCCTCTTCCCGCAAACCAGAGTCGCTGGTTCAATTCCCGGCCAGGGCATGTGCCTGGGTTGCAGTCCAGGTCGCAGGGTGGGGGTGCACAAGAGGCAACCGACTGATGTTACTAGCAGTGGTGACATTGGGTAAATACTTCTCATGTTGAACAGCTGCATAATGTGGACAGCAGGGCTGCTGTGAGGACTACCTGGGTGGGTGCTCAGTGCATGGTTGGTGTGACTGTCTCGTGGGGACAGAAATTGGTTTAACAAACCAGGATCAATGGCTGTGTCCCCAGTGCCCAAAACAGACTGGTCCATAGTCGATGCTGGTTATTGCATGAATCCCTGGGGCCATGTGGAAAAATCCTTCCCTCAGACTTTGCTTGAATGTGCTCTCTTCTCGTTCTTTAAGATGTCAAGGCCACGGTACCCTGCTACTCTGCAGGAGTAGCCCCTGGCCTTGCTGTCTCAGAGAAAGCATTCACCAGGGACCAGTTCCATCTGTGTCCGCCCCCATTCCCGTCCTGCAGGAACCTAGAGGGAAGAGCTCATACTGCACAGTTGTAAGCCCAGGTGCCAAGCACAGGGCTTGGCACACTCAAGGCCCGAAGAGGAGCAACTGCGGAGGTCAGGCTGGCAGAATTGGGGTTCCTCTGGCTTTGACTGCCCCGTGCATGTTGCCCGCAGCTCCCGAAACTCCACCTGAACTATCACTGAAGTTTCTGCCACTCCTAACACCACAGATGGACCCTTTCGATGACAACCCATACTCTGTATTTCTGTCCTCGACCGTGGGCATTGAACTCCAACACTTCTATTTCTACTCAGAGTCCTCTCTTCATAACCCAGGGCCCCTCCGAAGCCACAGCACCCAAGCCCTGGTCATACTCCCCAGCCCTCTGCCCCCTACCTGCTCTGGAGAAACCCAGGGAGTCTTCACAATAAGGGGCCCAGGGCTTCAGCAGGGGCTGTGGGGCACTGGAAATGGTACCCTATTACAATACAGAGATCCCCTGCAGGTGGGGAGTGGCTCGGCCTGTGCCCAGGAAAGAGTCTGCGTCCCTCCATAGGTGCCCTCTCCCCGAGAACCAGGGAAGGAAGACAGGCAGAGTCGGAGCCACTGGCCAATGGAAGGCTCTCATTCGGTGCAGGCCACGGCCTCCTGGGACGGTGGCTCAGGAGGCTACTTGGAGCCTTTGAACAAAGACCCCGCACATCCTTTTGTAATCAGAAAGTTTATTTCAAATAAACTACTCAACTCTGAGCAGATGACATTACCTCAACTTTTTCTTTGAAGAAAACAAAGATATATGGTAAATTCATGAAAACACAGTGCCTTCTTTACCTTCCACCCTTTGCAGGTAAAATTCTGCCTGAGCTTTCCACTTAGGACAGCCACGGGGGGCACAGTGGCGGGGGTGGGAGAGCAGGAAACTGTCCACGGGTCAAGGCTGCAGGCTGTGGTCCAGGCCCCGAACCCCTGCAGTGCCAGGGGCCGGGGCCACAAGTGCGGCACACAGCAGCGTGAGGTCCGAACGACGCCCAGACTCACTGCCCCGGGGGTGACTATGGGCGCAGAGCTGCGACTCAGGTCCTGGGCTGAGACTGCAGGGTCGTCCGTGTGCTCGCGGCACCCACCCCCACCCCTGGCCACAGCAGGCCGGCGCCTAGTGCCGTGAGCGCCCCACCGCCCAATCCCAGGCGCACTGGCTGCACTTCTAACTTGTCCTCCCGTCCCCACCCCAGGCCCTCCGCTGCAAGAGATGGCAGGAAGAGACAAAACCTGAGTAGGGGCCTGCATCCAGCCTGTACCCATGACCCCCAGAGTCACAGCTGTCCCTTGTCTTCTCAAGAGTAATTCATGGTACTTGGGAAACTGCAGTGAAAACGTCTGAACATCCAAGAACGCCCCACACAGCGCCCTCACGTCTCCCGAGCAGCTCTTCCGGGGGGTCCCCAACGTCCTGCTGAACACAGGCGGCTCCGCCAGCCTCAGAGTGGAGGTACTGGGCAAAGCCACAAACCCAGAGAGTCACAGACTTTTGAACTTTTCAAAGGCCCACAGGGCCGGGTGCAGGAAAGGTAAGACACCACGCAAACCGTCCACTCTGTTGGGGTCAACAGTGCAACATCTGGCCCCCTCGCCTGACCAGCCCCTGCCACCACAGGTGCGGGGACCAAAGACTCAGAACAGTCCTGGCCTCACACCAACAGGCCCTAGGGTCAGGGTCTCCAACACCTGGGGACCCTGGGGGAGCACCCAAGCCCCAGAGCAGCCGCCGGACACACTCCAGGTAACACAAAAACAACCTGTGCAAACAAGCCTCCTGTGCCAGAAAGACAAGTGTCCCCGGAGGGCCACACTGCACGCTGACCCCAAAGCCACCCAAGGAGAGCAGCAGGACAGCGTCAGGTGCGGCTGCGAGCCGGCTTGGTCAGAGCTACGCACTCAAACACTGGCTTGAAGAGAGAGGCCGTGATTAAACCGATTTATTTTGGGGAACAACTCCCTTTGAAAGCGGACATCTACCTTCAGGAGACAAAAGGAAATGCTGTGCCACACTCCTGTCCCCTGGTCGGGAGGGCCACAAGCCCGCCTGTGTGCTGCTGTGGGCTCCGGCCTCAGGAGCCAGGCCAGGAAGCCTCACCTTCGAGAATAAAGATGAGCCCACGACAAGCAGCACCACCGGAGACACTCAGACACCGAGTGGCAGGACCCTGTTCCCTGGCTGCCAAGGTGAGGCAGGTGCACCCCGCCACAAAGGGTCTGTAAGGAACAGGCAGGAGGCGTGATGCAGCCCCCTGTATGCTGTGCCTGTTCCACAGGCGAACTCGGTTCCCCCGTTGCCACCCGGGCTCCGACCTTGGGATGCCAGCCGCGGCCAAGCCCCCAGTGAGTCTAGAAGCAGAGGCCGCCCTGGGACCCCCTGCAGTGCGTCTGGGGGCAGGGTGGGCAGGCAGCATGTGTCACCTTCTCAGTAAATTAGCTAGAGGGTAAAACACTCCAATGCCAATTTATTTTTAAAAAGGGTTCTGTGTAATTCTATAGTTGGTTTGCCTTTTTTTTTTATATAATTGTACAACCTTTGAAAATTACATAAGTTGTAATGATCTAATACTATTATTAATAGTCATTCAGAAAAACTTTCCCTCCCTCCCAACAACCATCCAGGGGGAATTAAAAATCCTGAAGAGGCCAAGAAACAAAAAGCAGAAAGATGAGGACAAAACAGAAGTTGACTAGGAGGAGTATGGCCGGCGTCTCTCAGGGTGGGGCCCTGGCTGCCGCCCAGGGTCGTGAAAGGCAGAGCCCGCAGCGTGCCGCGTGGCAGCCGGAGACCTCGGAGCCACGGCGTCCTCACGCGCACACCCCATCCAGCCTAGGTATCGTGGAAGTCCTTCAGCAGGGTTCTCCTCCGCTGCTCTGCTATGTGCATCTGGTTCTCTAAGTCCTGCACCAGGGAAGCAAAATAAATGCTTGCATGGCCAAGCCCTGTGAGCAGGGGCAGCCAAAGCCACAGCCACCACGACAGGGGCTCTGAGGAGTCAAAAACACAGCCCTTCCCACCCTTCTTAGCAGCCGCTTCCAGCCCACAAAACAACCCTGTCACCTGTTAACGTGCCAGCCCCCCTCACCAGCAACAGCAGGCTCTTACCCCTCTGTCGTAGCTGTCCGCACGCTCCACTTTCCACGACAGGTTTTCGATCTCAGCCTCCAGTTGAGCCTGCTGGTATTCGAACTGTATGGGCAGAGCAGGAGGGTCAAAGGAGAGGGGCTGCAGCCGGGCAGGGCCTGCAGACGGAGGGGCAGACGCAGCACTCAGACTCGCCAGAGCCTTGAATGGCCCTGACGCCGTCCTCCGAGAGCAGTGCTAGCCCCTGTGCCCGAGCCAGGCCCGCTCAAAAGGCTACCTGGGAGTGCAGGGGCGAGACTGCGCTAACTCTCTGCCCCCAAGGAAAGGGCAAGAACATAAGCCACTGAAGAGAGTGCTCCCAACACGCAGGGAAGCAGATGCTGTGGAAACACATTGGTGCGGACATGCACAGACCCCGGACTCCCTGAGTACTTTGCATTGGGATTTCCTTGGCTCTTCTGCAAATCAAGTCTTAAAAATAGTCAAACCATTTGACTTAGTAATTGTACACCCAAGCTTTATGCACAAAGATGTTCTTCAATGTCTAATTTGTGGTAGTAAAAAACAGAAACAATTCATGCCCCAAATTATGGTGTACTCACACAACAGAACACTTATGCAACTACTAAAAAATATTATTTACCAGCCTGGTAAAAACAACGACAGCTGCAACAATAAATGGCTCGAACAGTAAAATGCCACACACACACACACACACACACACACAGCCTTGATTATATAAATATTAATTTTCGATTTTATTTATTTTAGAAAGAGGGAGAGAAACACTGATGTGCAAGAGAAACATCCATCAGTTGCCTCTTGCACACCCCCAACCAGGGGCCTGGCCCACAACCCAGGCACGTGTCCTGACCAGGAATCAATTCAGTGACCTTTCGAGGCACAGGCTGGTGCTCAGTCCACTGAGCCACACCACCAAAGGGTAAATGATATTAATTTTAAAAGGCCAGAAAAATGCTAACACATGGTCATTTCTCGTGGGAGTTCTAGATGTGAATTTTTTCTACGCTTTTCAACATTTAGACAATAAATGTGAATTATTTTATAAGCTGGGGAGGGAGAACAACTCACACATAAGATAAAGAATTACATGAAGATGTAAAAAGCCCCACTGTCATTTAAGGACGTGTGTGCTGGACACTCTCCCAACGCAGACCTCGCAAGTGGCCACGGACCTTTGCAGCCAGTTGGCCTGTCCCACGGCCCCACTCAGGATGCTGCCTCACTACCACACAACATGCCAGCACCTGAGACCTATTTTGGAGATGCCTAGAGGAGCAATGAAATTTGAAGATGAACAGTTCTGTTTGGAATCTGCCCCTCCCCCCAACAACCAAGGCACCTCTGAAGCTAAGAGGGCAGAGTAGAGGGACTGCCCGCCCGCCTTACCAGCTTCTTCCTGGGGCCAGACTCCATGTAGTACGCATACGGGTACGTGTACTGCAGGGTGTATCGGCACTGCAACGGGAGAAGAGAAGGTACCTGTGTCTGTCATCCTAACCTGTGTGCACCTCTGGTGGCTTTCACATTCCTCACCCCACCCACCATGCAAATTAGCCTGGCTCTAGAGGTGTGGGCCTGAAAGAAATGAGAGCAAGCCCAATAAAGGATGAACTGGGGGACAACATGGAAAACACTGAAACAAAAGTGGCCACAGAACACCCACGACTCCTTTTCAAGCTGCGACTTATTTACCAACAGCCACCTCATGGCTCCTCCCTCTTGAGCCGAACATCAGAGTCCACACATCTATCTCAGTAACTGTCCACAGACAAGCTCTTATTTTCCTCTGAGTGATGCATGAATGGGACAGAAGAAGAAAAGGGCTCTAGCTTCCCCCGCAGGCAGAGGCAGTGGGCTGTTCTTCTTGGGACCTCCCTGGACATCAGCAGAGCACTAGGTCCTTGGTGGACACAGCACAGGGAATTGTCAGCGTGTAAGCAGAAGTATGCGGGACTGCAAAGGGTGCTCATGTCCCCTTCGCTGCTCCCTTCAGCATCCCCCCCCCCCCAAGTCTGGGCCTGACAGGGCCAGACACCACACAAGGAATCAGAAGAGTGAGGTGGTACAGACCTTGGCCAAGAGCTTGGCAGCATTCTGTAGGTACTGCCAGTCAATCCACGTCCCCAGGTTATTCATGACCCTCTCCTGTATCTTCTCATGAATCCGTTGGTACGTCTGTGCCTCCAGCTGTAAGCTCTTGTTGTGGTTTTCCCACTACAGGGTAGAGGAAGGAGAAAGCTGTAGGAGTCCTGGGAAGGTACAGAGGTCCACAAGGAGTTCGGAATAGACACCCTGGCTGGAAGGGCAAGGCCACAGCCTCACTCATTACAGGGACTGAGTGCTGTCTGGAGGACCGGAGCGGATTTCTTCATTCCACACCACTCTGTGTCTACAGCAACCGCCTGCCAGACCGCCCCACCCCTCTGGGGCAGAAGGGCTCCAACCCTGAGGACTAACAGGCTATTTACCGTCTACTGTGCTCAGAAAGCTGTGGGGGCTTCTGAAGGGTCTTCCTGGGAGAACTGCCCACTAAACCTATTTAGGTGGAACTTCAGGTGGAACCACCTGATGGTCCCTCACTGTCCTTCAGTCCAGCACTCACGCAGTCAGTGCCACGTTCTTCCTCGCCAGCCATGGGTGCCTTGTGAGGCCGGAAAGCCACATCTACGGAGGTATCATCCAAAGCCACGGCAGGCGGTCCATGCCCTGACTTCTGCAGGCACGTGCAGGCTCTGGCTATACCGGTCGCTGAAAATTCTGTGGCCCCAACTGAAGAAGCCCACCCTCAAGGAGCAGCTGCAGAAGAGGATGCCTACCCTCTCAAAGTAGAACAAGTACTTCTTGAGGGCCTCCCTGGCTTGGGCCTGCTGGCTCTGGTTGACGATGTCAGGGTTCTCCTTGTACCGACTGCACTCGTAGTACTCGCTGCCATGGGTCTTCCAATCCCCTAGACACATCCAGCAGAAGTCTGCACAGAACAGAGAGAGGGGTTCACACCCACAGGACAAGCCACAGTCCTCCAAAGGCAAGCAGGGGGCGCAGAGATCCCGCCGGGGGCGTTCACCTGATCGGACTCCCCAGGGTGCCTCTCTCATCTCATCATATCCCGCCATCCCGACCGCTCGCTCTGCTGACCTGAACACCAGTCTGCGGATATTCTTAGTTCCGTGAGCACATTTGCTTTGTGCCTTTTTAATCCCACGCGGACAACTGTTGACTGTACAAGACCACTAGTCTTACAAAGTACAGCACAGAGAATGTCGTCGATAATACTGTAATAACTAGGTACAGAGCCAGGTGATACAATTACCTAACTACTACGCTGTGCACCTAAAACACAAATAATATTGAATGTAACTGTAACTGAAGCGTTAGACTTTTTAAAAAGCATTAAAAAACCACTAGTCTGTTGTGTCAGTGCCGTTGTGAAATGCAGGAACCTACAGAACTTGTCCAGCCAAGGCTCACTCACCATACACTTGCCCTCCTGCCTGCGTCCCTCTGCTACAACATCCACTCTGGGAAGACTCTGTACATGAAGCTAGAAATAAAGCCTTTATCCTGCTCTTCTTTTTAAAAAGCACATTTCTATAAGAACTACAGCTACTCAACAGTTCGTACTCGGCATGACGACTCTGCTTCCACACCGGGTAAGCTGGGAAGGAAGAATAAAGATCCCTTCCGGATGGTACACATCCAGACGACGACCGGGGTCTACCGAGGAGGGCCGACCTCGGGTGTCAGACGTCCAGGGCCGGTGCGTACTTTGCTTCCGACACGGACCCGACAGTGGGAGACCCTGTTTCGCAGGACTCACTCCCAGAAGGTGACCGACTTCCCATGAGTTGCTCCTGTGAAACCCAGGGAAGCTGAAGCCAAGCCCGGAGTCCCAGCGGTCACTCACGCCCCTTTATCAGCAGCCTTCTGCCAACAGCGGCAGCACACCGCTCCTTCATCAGCTAAGTTGTGCTCGCTACTTTGTAAAATGCTACTTGCTCAGGGCGGCCTGTAGAAGTGGTAAAACCATACAGCCGTGAAGGATGAGGGTTGGCTCTAGGTGGCAAGGGATGAGGAGACGACGGCGAGGGAGGGACACGCAGGCACGAGGAGTGTGGTGGACACAGCGGTGCTCACTCTGCTGTTTCTCTGTGGCCTGGACATGTGCCCCAAGCAGGTGACACACACTCCTCTCACTCCAGCACGCACAGGAAGATAGAGGGGGACACCACCGGGAAACATGCCACCGCCCTCGCCCTCGGCCCAGCTTCACTTCAGAGTGACCGTTCCCTTCTTCTAAGACCTTGCCACGTCCCCTCTGACTGCAGCGAGCTCCCGGGAGAACACGAAGCGCACTGATGGGCCTCCCAGAGACACTCTCAGGGCCTCCGGGTCGGCGTCTACGCAGCTACATGGAGACCTATTTGCATACGTCTTTTACATGAAGGAATTTTACCTCGTTACTTGCTCTGGAAGGTGGGAAAGCAAAACCAACAGGTTCTACACAACCTACTCCTGACAGAGGAAGGAGGCCTGAAAGGCCGAATTCCCCTCTGGGAACTTCCTAAAATCCCAAAGAAAACTGTTATTTTACAGCCTCCACTTAAAACCATGTAGGCCTGCTCTAAAAGGTGTCTGCAAAGTAGCACAGATAAGCCCCATGCTACGCACCCGCTTTGGCAAACATAAAAAGAACATTAAAATTTTCTTCTTGGATGACTGAGGGTCATGAGGGTCTAAGAGTCATCCCAAACCTGACTTTTGGGGGTAAGACTTTATTTATTTATTTTTAGAGAGAGTTGGGAAGGGAGAGAGAAAGAGAGGAAGAGAAACAGCAATGAGAGAAATATCAGGGACTGAACCGGTGACCCTGCCACGTGTCCTGACTAGGAACTGAATGGGTGACATTTCACTTTGTGGAATGATGCCCAACCAACTGAGCCACACCAGTTAGGGGACAAACTTGACTCTGACTACGTGTGTCAGCAATATGGCAGCAGTATTACAAGAGGGACCAAAAAACAGCAATCAAAACCATGGCCGCATCACTACAGAAGTCGTCCCTGAACGAGCAATGGAGACCCAAGCACGAGGAACGCAGACTGCGCGCCGCTGGCCCGCGAGCCCCGAGCCTAGGACTCACCGTGTTTGCACTTGGAGCATTGCTGTCAGAGGAAAGCAGAAGAGAACGTGTTAAAGGCAAGCCGACCTAAGGCTCCGTGTCACACACACAAAGGGCACAGGCTTCTGCTCACCATGTGATTGCAGCCTCCATTCTTCTCAATGCAGATGTTGCACTTGGGACACTGAGGAGACAGAAGGGCGCCATTAGGCTCACGTACCGTCAGGTCGGTTCTAACACAAATTACACAAAGCTCCTGGTACCCGTGCCCAGTACTCATCGTGCGAGCACTTCTGGGGAGGAGCATCTCACTTAAATGTGGCGGGTCGCTGAGGCTGGAACAGCAATCCGAGGAAATGAGGTCAGCATGTTTGCCTCTGAAACACTCCGAGCACCAGCTGAGCCGCACTAAGCCTTCCACCATCTGTCCCTGCCACCGGCCGCTCAAGTTAAACACAAGCTGAGTCAGCAGAAAGCCTGCCTGCCTGGGAGGAACGCCAAAGCAGCACGAAAGGGGACCAAGTCCTGGTCGGCTTGCCTGCACTTCTGCTTATAGAAGAGGGCAAGGAAACAACCTCTGAAGTTTGCTTATTCTCTCTGGAGAGACGACAGCAACCCTAGGAAACTGCGGAAACCAGCTGGGCGCTGTGCCATGAAGCAGACAGTGTTTAATGACGTCACGCTCACAGCTGTGCTTGTGAGGGGATCAGCTCAGAGTGTGACTGGCACAGGGTGGGGGCCTTGAGTGCCGAGTCATCCAGGGCTCAAGGCGCTGTGGGCCGTGCTTTCCCACAGAAAGTTTCAGAGTAAGAACTGGAGTACCTGAGCCTGCATTAGAGTCTTGCTATTTATTAGAGGTGACTATCAATCACCTCCCTCCCAGGGACATTAAAGATGGGGAGGCACTCAATAAAAACTTAAGGTTTTTTTCCTAATTAGTTCCTTAACTTTTCTCGGCATTTCAGCATTTTACTAAAATAAAGGCGCCAATCAATGCATACTATAATGAATGGCTGCTACCTCTGCGGAGTCTGGGCAAGGGTCTGTAGCCTCCAGTAAAGGCCCTGGGCCCCTGGGTGTTCTGCTCTCAGGTGGCAGATCTCCCGGGCAAGGCCCTGGGCAGCACTAAGGAGGGCAGATCCACGACAGGTAAGACACAGTCCTTACGTCTTTAGTGTGAGCACTAATGTAGTTGGCCGTCTCAGAGTCGTCTGCACACTTCGTGAGCCATTTCCGGATTGTTGCACAGTCTGTGGGGGCGTGATACATCTGACGGCACTTGAAACTCAAAACCAGAAAAGAAAAACACTCAAATAATCATTAGGTCAGGTTTTTTATTTTCCTTCGTCCAAGCCAAGAGATCCTGAATTAGAGCATTTCCGAGGAAAAGCCACTTATCAAGGCCTTTCAGACCTTTATTTACTTGATTATGCTAACATATTATGTACACCTTTCTTCATTTGAAGCCCTTCTAAAACATACTTTCAATAAACCCAAATTCTGTAGTAAGATTCTGTAGTAAGTGTCTTATGTGGTGTCAAGGCTCCCGGAAGGCTGTCAGATTCAGAGTCGCCTCTCCTCCAGCTCGGCGAGGTGCTCTGAGAAGGACGCCTCAGCTCAGACCCGGGGCAGGGCCAGGAGCCACTCCTGGGAGCAGCGGCTTATCTCTCAGCCGGATGTGCACGTGGGACGCACACATGCCCGCACCTGTGCAATCTGTAGGGGCAGGACACGTTAACAACGCAGAAAACTTATGGTCAGGATTAAAAAAACACTCATCGAGCTCGGCCCCCGTGATTTTAACTTCTTTTTTGCCCAGGCCAACACAACTTGACAGTACAGGCACATGCCACAGGCAAAGGAGCTCATCATGTGGGACACGAATGGAAACAGGATGGAGAGCGACTACAACGGTCTTCTTCACATCTGGTGAGCCACAGACGCCCTCAATGACGTCTTGAAAGATGGGCACGTGTGCACACATGCCACATTTTCCATGAAGTTTCTCCGAGTCCCCCCATGAAGTTCCCGGGGAGGCCTGACTGGGGGGCAGATCTGGACCTAAGTGATGACTCCTGCCAATAACCTGCACCTCAGTTCCCTCCCCGAACAAGAACGACAGGACCAAACACACACAGCCGGGAAAATGAAGGTACACTGACCAGGACAATGCCTCTTCCCTGGTAAACCTTTAGCACACTTTAGCTATTCCCATCATTTATTGAACGGAGTAAATCCCAAGTAGATAAAAACCACATTTATGAATTATAGGGTGAGTTACAAAGATGAAATCATTGAAGATTATAACCAGTAATATATAAATTACCTGTGTCGGCAAACAGACACATACAATCTCTGGGCTATGAGTCTGAGTGGCATAAACCATAGCACATCCTCCAAGAGTCTGGGCCAATTTCTGGTCTCCAGACTGAGCGTTGGCAAACATAACACGGAACGTGAGATGCTGTGCAGAAACCCTGCCCACCTGGAGCACAGCTGCTTTCCTGGTTCGAAGACCCTATCTCTCCCAGCCCCTCCCCCACACAGAGCAGTAGCAGTGGTTCTTTGGAGAAGCCACGAGCCCAGGGCTGCTCAGCACCCACACTCACTCTTACCAGAAGACCTCGTTGCACCGATTGCACTGGACTCGGCGAGCTCTGGGCTCTTGTACCTGGATGACCATGGGGCAGTCTGCACCAGGGCACAGCTGAAGCTGATAATGACTCTGTGAACACAAGAAGGGGAAACAATGAGGTGATCCCCTAATGCTGCCTCCAAATTAGACCTCCCTGGGTGTTCAAGCACCTATTCTTCCAGCTGATGACTCACATCAAGGGGCTAAAGGAATTCAAGATGAATGTCATAAAGACCAGGCATTAGGCAGATATTGAAGACCTTTGAATGCGTAAACTAGGCAGCAACTCGTTATAATGATCAAGGATTAGAGTACAAAATGGGATATAGAACTGCATCTGTGAGATGAAAATGCAAAGCAACCTCATCAGCTGGCGGGCCCAACGACCCCCAGGCGTTTACCAAAGGCAGCAAACAGCACAAGAGACAAGGCACTGTTTACCCGGCAGTATGTGCGTGAGGAGACCCAGACCATCAAACAATCCAGTAAGCTTAGGCATAAAAAAGAAGAAAACTGTGTTGTAGAAACCAGCTAGCCCAGACAGTAGACCAACAGAGCAGATGGACCCTCAAACTGACCCTGGACAAGATGTCAAACTGCACCAGGAGCGATACCCGTTCTCTGGGCTGAACCACAGAGTGACCTGAATGGAAAAGCAACTCCTGAGGCATGCCTGACTTGTGCTTAAACTTGGCCTACAATAGCTTGTTTAAGCAATGTGTATAGTGTGGGTATGACTGACCATTCTACGACAGACAGCCAAGGCTCAGAGAGGTAAAATAATGGGTCGATGGTTATGCAGTGAGGAAGTCACAGACCTGGAATTCACATAACTGTCTGACTCGAGTCTGTGTTCTTCACTATCGGTCTAGTGGTTTTCAAAAACTTGTTTTAATCCTCGCCTGAGGACATGCTTATTGATTTTAGAGAGAGGGGAAGGGGGAGAGAGGGGAAGAGAACATTCATGTGAGAAACACTGACTGGCTGCCTCTCCCACACACCACAACCAGGCCCCACACTGCAACCTGGGCTCGTGTCCTGACAGGGAAACGAGTAAGCGACCTTTCGGTTTATGCGATGTCACTCCAACCAACTGAGCCACACTAGCCAGGACTCAAATGTTTTGAAATTTAAAGAAACTCTTTCTTCAAATGCCAGCACCTAATGGCAGCCTTGTCTACGAAGCAACTATAGTGAGCATCTGATGGAAAGTGGGCCCGGGAAGGTGGAGGGCGCAACCACAAGAGCTGGTCATACCTCCACATAGTCCCTGAAGAGGTAGCGCCTGTATTTGTCTCTTAGTTCTTCATTGGGCAGTAACGGAAACACAAAGTCCTCTGGTGTTCGAAGTGGGCAGTCCTGAGCCATGCAAGAGACTCCTGTTGAACAAAGACACTGAATGGACAACTGTATCTGCTCACTGAGCTCAACCCGAAATTCAGATTCCACATAGGAATCCCCTGAAGCAACAGAATTTATTCAAAGAAGAGAGAAATGAATATATTTGCACAGTGATACAAAATATTATCCCCAAATATTAACTAAAATATCCCAAATTACATATGCATTATAAACAGTACCACTAAAAATACCATTAAAAAATCCTATATGGTTCCTGACTAACCATTGAGTTTTGTGATGTTTAATATTATGTGCAACCAATTACCACCAACATAAGATTCTGTGGATATAATTTATGTGGTGCTAATTTCATTTTGATGTCATCAAGTTATACGATAAATACTCTCATAACCAACCCTCAAATTTGATCTGTGCAGTGACCTACATATCAAATTCTCTGGGTGTTTCTGAGTTATGGCTGCCACCTGGAAAATCAAGATTGGGTAGGAAGCTTAAAGAACAGTTCCTCTGAAAGTTCTCCGAAGGGGCAGCCTTGAAGTCACACAGCATTTACATATATGCCTAAACAATAGCCCTAATTGTCTACTTTTGCTCAGGACGGGGGAAAACTCTGCCACTGTTCGGACTGATGTGTTTGGAAAGCAATGGTACTGACAATCGGGCTCAGAAGAAGACATGCAGTTGACCTGAGTGTCTGAAAGGGCCAAGGAGAAATACTTTGTGCCAGCCTTTTCTAAGCTCTACAGCAGACTCACCCACACCCACGCCGTCTTTGACAAGTACGGAGCAGTGCTGCTCCCAGCAGCTGCGGCAGAACTGGTGCTGACAGGCCAGAGAGAGGAGGTTTTCCTTCCGCACAAACTGCATACACACTGCGCAGTGGTGAGGGGGATGGGCTGTGGGGACCTGGGAAGAGGCAGATCCACACGAGTCAAGGAGGAGACTTCGGTTCCCAGCGCAGTAAGGGGTGCCTAGTGTGGCGACCCTGACCCAGCCACAGGTGCCAGAACTCAGCAGCAATGTGTGAACTTGGGGAGTACCAAGAGTTCTGAGCAGAAAGCGCCTATTAGGAAGGCTTCCTGAAGAAGGCAGCACACGAGCTGGCTTGCAGAACCACTGGAATTCAGTGAGGCAGAGAGAACTTACAGCAGTCTAATAATGTCAGGCTGAAAAGCTCAGGATTCCAGAACTGTCACGGTCCTTAGAGGTCATTCGGTCCAACTTCTTCTTTGAGAAACTACTGGTCTTCTGTTAACTGGCCCGGTTGAGCACAGCACAGAGCTGCCCCTCAGTAGGCACAACGGACCCAGTCGTAAAGGCTCTGAGGCTGTATACAGCTTCAAACAACCCACACTGCAGTTCTGCTTATTGAAGACAGTAGGTTTTCCCACGTCAATATGCCACAAATACAAAATACTACGGCCTCTGCCAAGTTACAACTCATCCTTAACACATGGAAGAGACGTCACCTACAATTAATTTAGGGGGATGAGGATGGCTCCTTCTAGGCAAGAAACTCTTCTAGGCCATGGGCAAACACCCACAGAGCCTGAGCTCCGTGATCCATGCCACGTCACACAAGCCGGGAGACAGAGACAATCTGGGGACCCCCGGCCAAAACCACAAACCACGGCAAGTCCACTACAAGTTTACAATGGGTTCTTGTTTGTGCAGCTTCAGAAGGGGGCCTGCACGTGGGAACATTCATCCGTATGTGCCTGGAAACTTTCTAAGAGGTGGCAGAAGTTGTTTGGTGATCCGAGTCCCATTCTCCCCCTGAAGGACTCTTTCAACACAGCCCTCGTTCATCTGACAAATGTCTGTCGGACTTAATTAAAGTGAGTTTCACTCCCACCAGCAAAGATGGGGACAGGCTGTAAACATTCCAGGCCAGGGAAGACGCAAGCAGAGTCAGAAAGACAAGCAGTGAGCCTGGGACACCGAGGCCCCCGCCGGAATGGAATGCAGCCTGGGTGTAGAGATGAGGGTGAGGCTGAGCAGGGCCCCAGGACTGGTAACGTTTTTTTAAACTTAAATTATTTTACTGTTATTCAATTACAGTTGTATTTTCTCCCCACCCCCACCCCCTCCAAACCCACCTCCCTCCCTGGCTTCCACCCTCCCCCTAGGAGGAAGCTTTTCAAACTATAATGGAAAAGAAAGATTTAAACCTATACTGGAACAAACACCTTAGGCATGTTGCACTATAAACAAAGCAAGATGATTTTCAGTAACACTGTTCCCACAGTGTTCCCACAGCCAGTGTTCCCACAGTGGCTTCCTCTGGAGGAAGCCAGAGACAGCCCCGTGCACTGGGAGAAGCCTTAACTCAAGCAGGAGACACTCACGTGCTTCGAAGGACTGGGCTGAACACGAGCCTCCACGAGCAACTGAGCAGAGTTAGACTTGTATCTACAAAACAAAAGGCAGAAATTTTTACCTCTGAACGAAGACACAACAGACCAGCAAGTGCGGCAGTCGCTCTAAAATGTCTTTGTCTCTAACTCCACCTCACATAACCAAGTTTCCTTTGACCCTAGTGCAAGTATTTTTTCTTTCAATTTTTTAGTCTCAACTGACATGAAAATTATAAACCTGTTTCAAAGGCATGGAACTATAAGAAAAATACTCATGAAGGATTATTTCTGCTTTAAATTCCTTTCTGAAAACAGATGCAAATATCTCTATGGCTTCAGAATAAGGAATGACAGCTTAAGACAGAAAATGCCCTGTGTACAAGAAAACTGAAGAACCACGCCACACTTAAGAACCACAGTTCACCATAAAGTGAAAAGCCAAGCTATGAACTGGGAGCTAACTCAACCCCTATAGAGGCAAAGGATTGATATTCAGAATAAACAAAACAAAAATTCCTAAAAGTTCACTTAAAAAGACAAAATAACAATAAAAATGGGCAAAAGAGAGAGTAGGCATTTCACAGGAGGAAGCACAGACGGCCACTGGACACATGAAAAGGTGCCCACCATCCAAACCATCCAGTCAGAAACAGTAGATGCCATTCGCACCCACCAGACTGTAGAACTTTAAGTGTGGAAGGAAGTTTCAGGAGCATTCATACACCACTGGTGAGCATGTAACATTGAACAAACACGTCAGAAAACATTTGGGTATTTTTATTTTATTTTTTTAATATGTTTTATTGATTATGCCATTACAGTTGTCCCATTCCCCCTTCATTCCCCTCCACCCTGCACACCCCCTCCCCCACCATTCCCTGCCTTTAGTTTATGTCCCTGTGTCACAGGTTCTTTAGATTCTTTATTTCCCACACTATTCTTGCCCTGCCCCGTCTATTTTCTACCTACCGTCTATGTTACTTATTCTCTGTACCGTCTCCCCCTTTCTTCCTCCCACTCCCGTGCCAACCCACCCTGTGATCTCCATTTCTATGGTTCTGCTCTTGATCTAGCTGTCCTCTTAGTTTACTTTTATTTTACTTTTATAACTGAGTTTACTGTTCATATTTTTTATCTTCTTTTTCTTAGATAAGTCCCTTTAACATTTCATATAATAAGGGCTTGGGGATGATGAGCTCCTTGAATTTGACCTCATCTGAGAAGCACTTTATCTGCTCTTCCATTCTAAATAACAGCTTTGCTGGATAGAGCAATCTTGGATGTAGGTCCTTGCCTTTCATGACTTGGAATACTTCTTTCCAGCCCCTTCTTGCCAGTAAGGTCTCTTTTGAGAAGTCACCTGACAGTCTTATGGGAACTCCTTTATAGGTGACTGTCCCCTTATCTCTTGCTGCTTCTAGGATTCTCTCCTTCATTTTAATCTTGGCTAATGTAATGATGATGTGCCTTGGTGTGTTCCTTCTTGGGTCCAACTTCTTTGGGACTTTCTGAGTTTCCTGGAAGTCTATTTCCTTTGCCAGATTAGGGAAGTTCTCCTTTACTATTTGGTCAAATAAGTTTTTCACTTGTCGCTCTTCCTCGTCCCCTTCTGGTACCCCTATAATTCGGCTGTTGGAATGTTTAAAGATGTCCTGGAGGTTCCTAAGCCTCTCCTGATTTTTTAAAATTCTTGTTTCTTCATTCTTTTGTTTGGTCATTTTTTTCTTCCTTCTGGTCCACTCCCTTGATTTGAGTCCCAGTTTCCTTCCCATCACTATTGGTTTCCTGTGCATTTCTCTTCATTTCAATTAGTATAGCCTTCATTTGTTCCTCTAATTTGTGACTAAAATCAATCAGTTCTGTGAGCATCCTGATCACCAGTGTTTTGAACTGTGCATCTGATAGGTTGGCCATCTCTTGGTCACTTAGAAGTATTGGCTCTGGGGCTTTGAGCTGTTCTTCTGTTTGAGCCATAATTTTTTGGTCTGTTCACACCTGTTATGAATGAGTGGCGGAGCCTTAGGTATTCATTGGGGTGGGGCAACCCAGTCGCTGCATTGTGACGGGGTCTGGCTGAATGGTTCGTTGTTGCTGGACTTCCATACAGTTCAATTTTGTTTTGGTTGCATTTTTATTACTAAAACTTTGTTGTTTTTAAACTTGGTTGTGCGAGGAGGCACAATGTTTCCATCTATGCCTCCATCTTGGCCAGAAGTGACATTTGGGTACTATTTAGTAAAGTTTTAAGATAGCCCATGAACTCATTTTCTACTCCTTAAAAAAAAAAAAAAAGATTTTATTTATTTTTAGCGAGAAAAAGAGACAGAAAGAGGGAGAGAAATAATGATGTATGAGAGATACCTATTGGTTGTCTCTAACACGCCCCCCAACTGGGGACCTGGCCCACATCCCAGGAAGTTGCCCCAACAGAGAATTGAACAAGTGACCATTCACCTCACAGGTCAGCATTCAAGCCACTGAGCCACACCAGCCAGGGGACACTTTCTATTCTTAACCCTACAAAAATTATGTAATACTGGAAATCACTTCCAAGAGATTTCAAAGCTGCATCACTTGTAACAGAAAAAATTTTTAAAAAAACACACAAACCCTGAATTCACGATGTTTTTTTTTTTAAAAAGATTTTATTTATTCATTTTTTGACACAGGGGAAGGGAAAGAAAAAGAGAGGGAGAAAAACATCAATATGTGGTTGCCTCTTGTGCACCCCTACTGAGGACCTGGCCTGCAACCCAGGCATGTGACCTAACTGGGAATTGAATTGGTGACCCTAGTTTGTAGGCAGGGGCTCAATCCACTGAGCCACACCAGCCAGGGCTCACAAATGGCTTTTTGATAAGAAAATGAAGAGGATGTCATAAAATAAAACTTGGTGATTTAAAAAACTGAAAACACATACAGAATGATTATGTCTGTAGAGTTCTAAACACATACAAAACTAAAAGATACATAATTCATGAAAACATAAGAAAATGATTAATACTGAACTGAACTTACTGACTGCCTTGGAGAGGAAGGAAGGGGTGTAGCCAGACAGAAATTGCTGCCAGAGGTCACAGGGTTTCTTATTTGAGTGGCTGTTTTAGAGCATTTGCTTTAACATTCTTTAATACCTGCACGCATCACATAGGTGTGTGCACAAACACAAATTTTTGAAAAACCACTATTTCATAATAAAAATTTAATTCCTTCTGAAATGAAGTATGGCAAAATACACTTAGAAACATAACCAATTATCATGTGGCCATAAAAGTGCTATATGAAGCCCAGCAAAACGCATTACCAAGATAACAAGAATATGAGTAGGGAGGAATTAAGTCTCAAATGTATGGTCCTTATTCCACCTGCTCAGAATGCCTCGTGTACCTATTTTTACTCCTACATCTCACATTAGTATTCTTGGTATCTTTAGCCATCCAAATCTTCTCCATTCCCCAATTACACCAAAAAGTTTGGACACTGAGAGGCACCGCACTGCTGGAAGCTAGGTGGTCCCGGAGTAAGGGCAGCAGTGACGGTGCAGAGGGAGTTCATATGGAGTCTATCTGGATCCAGAACACGGCTGCTGCGTGGAGTGAGAGTGCAGTTAGTGGAGGAGGAACGTGTTGGCTCCTTTCTAGGTGGAACGAACACTCCGGCTGGTACGGCCATCACAGTGCTATTTAGCCTGGAGAAGGAAAGGCACGACCTGCTCTGCAGTCACAGGGCAATCACACTATACAGAGAGAGTCCCACTGGAGTGTGGAAGTGCAGGATGGTGGCATTTCTCACCCAAGGAATCTAGTTCTCCAGGTGCTATTGGGCACTTTCTGGAAACAGACTATTTTTTTTAAAGATTTATTTATTTTTCAAGAGAGGAGAAGGGAAGGAGAAAGAGAGGGAACCATCAACGTGTGGTTGCCTCTCATGTGCCCACCACCGAGGACCTGGCCTGCAACCTAGACATGTACCCCGACTAGGACTTGAACCAGCAACCTTCTGGTTTGCAGGTGGAACTCAATACACTGAGCCACACCAGCCAGGGCTGAAACATTTTTTATTTCAAGAACCTGGGGATACCACTGCTACTGATTTGTAGTAGGTAGAGCCTAGGGGTTCTACCAAACCACCTACAATTTGCAGAACATCTCCCCACAACAAAAAATTATCTAGCCCAAAATGTCGATAGTGCTGAGGATGAGAAACCCTGAGCTACGCAGAAGCACGTGCCTTTGGAGAGAGTGGTCGCCTAGGAAACCTCTCCATAGGACCAGGGGGAGGAAAAAACCCTTTTCCTGACCACTTCCGGGGCATCCTGAGACTGCAAAGTTGTGACTCAAGAGCTCTGGTTCTGGAGGTGGGCGGTTCACCAGTCATCCCTTTTTCAAGGGAACAGTGGTATGTTGTGATGCATCCCTCACTTGATGTGTCCAAAAAAAATAACTAGAGATGTTGGCAAGTGTGATCTAACAGGGCACTGATTACAAAGTAAAAAGGACACAAAAAACTTGAACTTCACTATCCAACAAAAGGGTATGAAAGAAGTATATAACACCTACATAAGGAAATACTGTGCCAACAGTAAGATTAGGATAGAAAGAATAAACTGAAAATATGGGAAAGCATTCATTCCCCACATACTGCGAAAAAAGGGTGTGCAATATGATCCACTGTTTTAAAAATATGAACACTGTAAGGATATACTCCAAAACGTAAATCGTCATCATTATCACTGAGTGGGTGGGCATAGAGAGGGTCTCTCCTCCCCAAAACACCTTACCTGTCCAGTATCTCTGCAACTTGCCAGTGGAAATTAACTAATATAAGTTTAGCAACTGAATGAGACACCTAGAAAGAAAGAAAAAAATCAAATTGTAACTGCAGTTCCTTTCAGAGAGCTCCACCTTTGGAGAAATGCATCCATCCATGTCTACTGCATGCCCAGGCTTCGCTTCAAACTCTTCATCTTGGTGCTCTGCTTTGACTTTCGAGTTCAGACTCTTACAACCTTAGAAACTTCCTAGATCTCTTTAATTTTTCTATCTTTGTTTTCATCACTGACTGTCTAAGAAATTAGTCTAAGCATCCAATTTAAGCAAAACAGCTATGAGCTCCCTAATGTAATATGTTCCCTCAGGTTACTACAGGAGGCCACACATGGGAAGTATATTTCTTGTTAGGCCTGTTACTTGCAGAAAATCTCCAGGCTTGGAATTCTTGCATAAATACAGCAAAACAAAACAAAACAAAACATACTCCTGAGTTTAAAACCTCAAGTGCCTGGGATCTAGTGAGCCCTGATGACAAGGACAGTTTAAGTCTGAAGGCAGCCTTTCTGGCTCCTACACTCTTAGGCACAGTGGTTATGGCCAAAGGGCCTCAGAAGGTACTTCGAGGTTGCTATTCTACTTCAGTAATTTTTCTAAGGAAATGATAGAGGCTATGTGTACCAGTCAGTAAAAAATTAAAAATAACCGGGAGAAATAGATAAAAAAAAAAAAAGATTAAAAAAAATGTACTTGAAAAGTAACTAAATAAAATTTAATATTAAAAAAAAATTAAAAATAACCTAAATGCCCAACAAAAAGGAAATAGATAAATAATAAATGACAGATTTGTGCAATGGACTACTATAGAGTCATTGAAAAGGATGTTGCAGAAGTAAGTGTGTGAACATGGAAAGAGGCTCACATTTTAATGTCACAACTGAAGAAGCCAGAAGTGAGACAGCATGTTCGAGTTACAGCCACCACATCTTGTTAACAGGGGAAGCAAGCCAGTTATAAAACAGGCTAACCCCCTAAGTGTCAGGACAGCGGGTGGGGGCCGCAGAAAATCAGGATGCATCTGGATGTCTGGATCAGCCTTCCCAGAAAGAGCACTATACAGCGTGAGGGTGCTACCGATTCAAGAAGAAAGAAGGAGCACACTTCAGGCTAAGGAGCCAAGAGAACACACAGAACCTTGGTACTCTGGCTCAGTGGACTGTATTTAAGAACTCCGAGGATCTGTAAGGCAGTGCATACTGCTCCACGGGAAGGAACTGTGTGTGTGTGTGGGGGACACACACATGACCAACACGTGATCCCTGCTCCTAGAGGTCAAGTCACTCCTGAAAGGACACAGGTGCACCCCTACTAAACAATGGCATGTTTCAGTGCACAGTGTCAAAGGCTGTGTGGTAAGTGACTGCCTGCCTGTCCCAAAGCCCAGGAACATCTGGAGAAAACCAAGGCCTCAAAACAGCTTATTCCACTAACGATGGGGGATCTCACTTCCCTTCCACGCAAGGCAAGCAGCATATGACCCATGCATGTTGGTGTAGTCTTTTCTTGTTGAGGCTCAAAGGGACTTTGAACTGTAGTTAATAACTCATGAATTATAGTTAACATTTCTTATAACCATGGCTATAACAAAACAATTCCGCCACGACACACCCTATCACAAAATGAAAAGGGAAAACATTTGGTTTAAACTTTAATGACTGTTAGAATGGAGCTTTTACTACAAATAGGTTTTTAAAAACCTGACAGTAATACTGTTTAGGATGAGCTCCTCACTGGAACCTTTTCTGCCATCTCTTTCCCAATGGGGCTCCGTCAGCCCTATACCGCGGCTTTCTGTTCTGACTTCTCAATGTCTCCCATGCAGCTGCTACCAGGTCCCAGCAAAGGTACGGAGCCACACAGGAAACCCAGAGGATTCCTGGCCATATATGGCAGCCACCTCCCCTTAGCACCACCGAAGGCTTAGGTGAAACCGTTAGGGTAAGAAAGAACAGGGCTCACACTGCTCTCACAGATCCACAGAGTCCAGAACTGGACTGGCCAGCCACTCGATACATGCTGACAATTAAATTCCATCGTGCCTTTAATCTGTGTATTTTCAAAATGGAATTTCTCAACCTTCCTGAAGAAACAGAATTTTAATACTATACCTGGTCTGAGCACTGAGTCTCAACTGCACTAACAGCAGCAACAAAGCCTCAGAATTTGCACACTAGGTGCAGCTCAGTCATGGAAAACAACATGGTCCTCTGCTGAAACTGGGAATTTTACTGATGACTAAGTCCACTAACGATCAACTCAGAATATCCCAGTGGAGCTGAGTTTTGCTGAGAACAGCTAATGTTAAGAGAGGATGCATCTAGCACTTTATAAAACTGACAATGGAGTGATATGAATCTATTCTTTTAGTGCCAACAGCCAAAGAACACACCAATGTAAACAAGACACTAAGCACACATGTCAGCTGCGTGCACCTCAGCAGCCTTCTGCAGGAGGCACCACTGTGGTCCACGCGTCACAGAGAGGGATGTGAGAATGGCCCACTGTAACATCCACTGTGTGTCACAGAATCCTAAAGGAATCCTGAGACCATCAATTTAAGCAAAATGCAGTGTCCCCTGCACCTTGCCCAGTAACAAAAACACCAGAAATCTGTAAGGAAGCCGGGTTCCAAAGGCTCTCGGAGCAACAGCAGCGCACGGGCAGAGCAAGAGTACCTAGAATAATCTGTGCTCCAAGTAAGGGATGCCCCCCTCCCTGATTTGGGACTGAAAGGGGAACTGACTGCATGCACACCCCCACAGCAACTGTAGAGGAAATGACCTCTGGTGGTTTGGGGGCAATATTTAAGTCACTTCTAGTAATTGGGCCAGGACACACACTGTGAATGATATTTAAACATTAAAATAATCTGTCTTTCTCAGAGTGCAAACAGCTGGGCTCTCGGGAAATAAATACCTCAGTATTCACACCATTTCTGTTCAAAGAGCTCGGCAATCTTCTCTGAATTTATTAGTCAACACTTCACAACTGGTAAAAGTCTTCCACTCTTCTGTGATATGTTCAATTGTGGAAAAAATAATCTTTCGGCCAAATCAAAATGAACTCTTACTGATCTGTTTTGATCAAGAAACTATCCTGTTAGTTTCAGGTTAGTTTCGGGCTATGTACAGTGACCCTTGAGCAACATGGATTTGAACTGCACAGGTCCACTTGTGTGGTTTTCAATGACCTCTGCAATTCAAACCAGTGTAAGTATGGCCCTGGCTGGTGTGGATCAGTGGACTGAGTGTCAGTCTGAGAATCGAAAGATCACTGGTTTGATTCCCAGTCAGGGCACATGCCTGGGTTGCAAGCCAGGTCCTCAGTTTTGGGGGTGTGTGAGAAGCAACCACGTATCTCTCACACATTGATGTTTCTCTCCCGTTCTCTTTCCCTCCCTTCCCGTCACTCTAAAAAAGTAAATAAATAAAATCTTTAAAAAAAAACATGTAGGTATAGTGATTTTTGACTGTGCAGAGGTTGGTGCCCCTAACTTCCTTGTTCAAGGGTCGACTATATTATCAAGAATGAGTTATAATGAAAAAGTCAAACCTTTTCCAAAAGGAAAATGGGTCCAGGATGGTAATCACTCAAAGCTAAAAAAAAGGCTAATGATTTAGGAAGGAACACATATGATCATGACACATTCAAAATAAGTGTGCAGTTCTACAGTATCAACATGTAATAAGATTACAAGTCTTACTTATTTGAGTCCTTTTCTACTTCCAGAAAACACTAATTGAAGACTAAAAACTAAGAACTAAGAAATTTCTTATATAACAATTTGTAGCCCCAAGGTAATTACTCACAGATTAATCTAAGCCTTTACTCAGAGACAGAATCGTAAGAGTCCACCATTCTTCTCTACATCTCCAGGGCCAGAGAGGCCCCTCTCTAAAAGGACCCACAGGTCACGACTTCCACATGCCTGGGAGTCTCATCCCAGTTTATACTGCAAACCCTAGGTTAGTGAGATCTGTCACTTTGGACTTTCACAATATGTTGAGTCAAGAACAGTTATAATAAACTTAAAACAAAGACAAGCTGTCTTCCTACTCTTACCCCCGGAGAATAACATGTAAAGTTATTCTCAAGAATCATGTTTGATAGCTTGAATATACTACTTTAGAAAGTTTATTGCATCTGCCAAAAGCAGAAATAAAATATTTTAATTCAACTTGGTTCATAATTTGAGAAGACGTTGATTCAGCTGCTGAATTTCAATCTCTTTGGAGCTGCCAACAGTGAATACACTAAGGTATTCTTTGTGTATATACACCAGGCAATGCAAACTCCCTTTTGCCAAATTCAACAAGCATTTCTCATGCATTGTCCTGCTGATGGAATCTGATACCTGCATTCCCTCTGCCCTCTTGGTCTCTGTGATTAGTCTCTTGCAACACCTGTTCAGGTACAGGCATAACTCATTTTACTGCACTGTGCAGATATTACATTTATTTTTTATTTTTTACAAACTGAAAGTTTGTGGCAACCCTGCATCAAGCAATCTATTGGTGCCATTTTTCAGATGATGATTAGCATTTTTTAGAAATAAAATATTTACACCTTTTAAAAGACAATGTTATTGAACCCTTAACAGACTACAGTATTGTATAATAACTTTTATAGGCACCAGGAAATCAAAAAATGTGTGTGACTCACTGTATTGAAATACTCCCTTTATTGAGTTATCTGGAAGCAAACCTGCAATGTCTCTGAGGTACGGCTATACTCAAAATGTGCTCTTCCCTCGGTGTGCCCACCTGGGCCCAGGGGGAACCACACTCCAACAACCTTTCGAACCAGAACCCTTGGCCTTTTCCTCTCTCTCACTCTTCCTTACCACTTCACCCTCTCCCATTATCACTACTCTACTGCCCTGCCTTTCTAAGCACTCCCGTCAGGAAATCCTCACTGCGTCCACGGCCATACCACCCAGAACGCGCCCGATCTCGTCTGATCCAGTAAGCTAAGCAGGGTCGGGCCTGATTAGACTTGGATGGGAGGAAAGCCTCACTG